GAGCACCCTCACTAATTTAAGAAGCACCCTCAGTGATTTGATTCTTGAGCCGCGCCTGAGTTTATCAGATTAAATTAATTTGAGGTTTGTCTTTGTACTCACACTGAACATCAAGTTGAATTGTTGCATTGCATTGGCCATGCTGGTTCTGAGCTTTACAGCCATACTGTGCATCGTATGTGGGGTTTGTCACAATGTAGGTGTGATTATGTCCAGTCTGGAGGAGCTCAAATTGAGATCCCGTCTCTGTGTACCAGGTGTAGTTGAGCTCTGCTGGGTTTGCGTCAGTGCTGCAGCTCAGAGTCACTGGATCGCCCTCCATCACTGAGCTGGAGGTAAACGCTGACAACGATGTGTTTTTTGGAGCATCTGAGGAAAAAGGATGTGCAATGTAGAATGTGCGATTTAACAGTTCAAGAGTTGAAAGGCTGCAGGTTTAAAACTCTATTTTACAAGTTTCAGATCACCATGAACTTTCACTCGACTCTCAGCTGATTACAAATTACTCACACTGGACGTCCACATGAGTAACAAGTACTGACTCTGGACGGCCAGCAGATTAAAAAGTACTCGCACTGGATGTCGTGGTATTTAGAATTATGCCTTCTTTTTTTTTTTTTTTTTTTATAATAGTAAAGCCGCGTTCTCATTGGCTCTGATGTCGGGAGAAAATGAAGACTCTTATGTTCACTTTTACATTCAACTACAAGACACCTTATGAGACGTTGTTGTCTCTACAGCTGCTCGAGTGCAGAGAAAATGACGGACAGCATAGAACTGGCTGAGTGCAGAAATATACTAATACGGGACAGTCTGTCAGCGGTCGTGGGCGAGGCTTGAGCAATATGACGTCATACTGCTCAGAAAATCAAAACGGCTTGATAATTGAGACTGTTTAGGTAATTGGGGATTAAAAAAAATTTGATTTTTATCATTGTAGGGTGGTTGTTTCCACACACTGCTAAGACACATTTATATGCAAACACCATGTAAAAGTGAATTTTGCATCCGATGCCCCCTTTAATACTCACACTGGACGTCCAGCAGCACTGATGAGTTCTGTGTGCCGTGTTTGTTCTCAGCTGTACAGTAGTATCGTCCGCTGTGTGTCGGGTCGGTGTTGTTGATGGTCAGGTTTGGTCCGGTCTGAACTGGATTCAGAGGTCTTTCAGTGTCTCTGTACCAGGTGTAGTTCACCGCTGGGTTTGCATCACTGCTGCAGCTCAGAGTCACTGAACGGCCCTCCAGAACTAAACCAGCTGGATTTATCCTCACCGATGTGTTTTTAGGAGCATCTAATAGAATAGAAAAAAATGTAGGCAGGCACAATATATAGTCATATTTTACATCTATTATATGCAGTATAAAGGTTGGTAATACACTGTGCAAAACAAGTGACTTTAAGTATTTGGAATATTTGTATGAGTAGAGACTCGTAATACTCACACGCTTACCAGAGAATAGAGTTGAAGACGACAGAAATCCTCTCAGAGCTCAAGCTGATGCTTCTACACTGAACGGAGGGAGAACTGTGTGTGAAAACGGCACAATTTAGCTCATATTAGAGATTCACCACTTCCTCTTTAGTCAGAACTCAGTAAAAGTAGCCTGACTGAGAAATCTATGCTAATCAGTATGAAGCTTATTCAATGTTCAACACATTTCTTTATATCTGCTTGAAACAAATCTTGTGAGATCCAGTGTTCAATGTTCATGTTGATAATAATTCTCCATATTCAGGAATACATGTTGAATCACAATAAAAACGCAATCCAAGAACACTATATGCAGAAAACATATACATTTTATTTATTTTCGACTTTTGCATTTCTTATTTGAGATATTATATATCAACATTGTGTTACGGTAATATTTCTCATGTTCTGAATTGAGTTTAAGTTTACTTCAAATAAGGAACATTTTCTTGCCGAAGACACTGACAGAAGCTGAAAGCAGAAGAGATTTCAGCAAAACACTGCTGTCTGTATGTAAGGTGTCTGTGTCTGTAAAGGCAGCAATAGAGCTGCTCACTTCTACAGCCATATACTTATAGTAAGTGTATAGTAAGTGATACTGTAAACATTTACATTTAGTCATTTGGCAGATTCATCATAAAGTAAATAAATATTTGTATGGGAATACGTGCTGTTTTGTATATTAAGAGTCTGTCACAGAGTTGTCACCTGCAATATCTGTACTGAAACTGTCTAAATGTGTTTTCATGTTGTCAATTATCTGAAAGTGAAGCCGCTTCTGCCGCCTAGTGGAGCGGAAGGAAACTGCACATCAGTTCCTATGATTACAACAAGTAACAATCACCACCAGAGGGCACCAAACTGTTATTGTATGTGCTTAGATATAGTAATAGTGATTTTAATAACAACATTTATTTTTGAATGCTATTTTTTTATTGTAATGGGAACTTTATTTATAAATGCCGAGCGTCCATAATTTTGTAAAGTTTACAGTTCTGAATATCAAATTCTTTACTCATAAATGCCAAATATCCACAATTGTGTATGGTTTATATTTCTGAATGGCAAATGTTTTATCCATAAATGCTGAATGTCCAAAACTCCTCTTTTGTAAAAGGCTTTCTTGCTCTTTAATGCCTGTTTTTTATATAATGTTGCTTGTAAAGTTAAATTATGGTAGTTAAAAAAAATACAAATTAAAAAAAAAGTAAAACATATTTATTTATAAAATAAAAATTTTGAAAATAGAATTGAATTTTCATTCCATGCCGACTTGAAGCCTTAACTGGGTAAAAATCTTGAAACTTGTCAGAAAAAAATATATTTTACCAATATTTTTTTCTGTTTGGATTTCAAAAGATCAGATATTTATTTGTGAGATTGTCAAATGTTTACTTGTGAGATTTATATGCATTATGCTTGTGATGAAGACGAGCCCACCAGCTCGCCTTTGGGGACAAAAATGTGAGTCCGTGAAAGAATGTAAAAACGATGGCTTACTCGCAGAAGCACTTTCGTGCAAGGTGGAATTTATTTACAGTGCCAGAAAGATTGTCCACAGTGAAGAATATATACAAGTGCACACAAAAATCCAAAGTACCAAAGAAACAACAAAAGGGGAAAATAAACCAGAAAATAATCCAACAATGATATATCAAACAGGTATCCACGGTATACGAAGGGTTTTGTGTTTGTGTTTTTGGCACATACCGCCACCAACTGTTTATGTACATACATGGATGATAGTCCCGTCTCTATTCGTATTTTATTTTATTTTATTGTTAATTTTATTTCGGGTTCACCCAAGCTGTATTTCTGGCTGCTGCGTGTTCAAGCACAGTTTTTCTTCTTCTTCATTGGAGTTTTACAGCGGTTGGCATCCATAGTGTTGCATTACTGCCATCTGCTTACTCACTTTAACTTACTGTATCTTAATTAAATTCGTCCTTCCAGTCCAGTCCTCCTTAGAAAATTAAACAAATATCTCCGTCCTTGGTCACTATTTCCATATGTTACTATATTTTTAACATTATACTCTACTATACCTATTTCCCGTAGCTGATTCTTGAACTCTTGCCTTTCTTGTATATATTTCTTACATGATATAAAGATGTGCTTAATTGATTCCTCCTCCTGACATTCATCACATAGTCCTGTCGGGTGTTTTCCTATAACATGAAAAGAGTTTTGTTTAGCTTGCAATGTCCAATCCTCAGTCTATTTATTATGACTTGTTCCTTCCTTTTATTTCCCTTCTTACTTTCCATACCTATCATATTTTGTATCATGTACAGATGTCTCCCTTTGATATCATTATCCCACTGCTGCTGCCATCTTTGCATTCTTTTTCCACACTAAACTCTTCCCTTCTGTTTTTGATAATTTAATTTTGACGTCAACATGTTCTTTTTTTGTTGCTTCTTTTGCCAGTCTGTCTACTTTCTCATTTCCCTGGATGCCCACATGCGCTGGCACCCACATGTATGTGATGTTTTTCCCTTGCCTGCTTATTCTTGAGTTTGTACATAACATCTCATAAAGTAATTCCTGATGGTTTCTAGTTACCCCAGACTTTATATTCATGAGGGCAGATACAGAATCACTACATATTACAACGTCGTCCCATCTGGATTGTTCAATCCATTCTAATGCTATTAATACAGCATATAACTCGACTGTATACACACTTAAGCTGTCAGATGTTCTTTTGTTTACTCCCACATGATATCTAGGGATATATACAGCAGATCCCGTTGCCTCTGTTTGTAAATCCTTTGATCCATCTGTAAAAATTTGAATACTATCTTTGTACATATTGTCCATATCTATAATATTCACTGACTATATCTGTACTCCTACTGCTGCCTTTTATTATTAGAAGCTCTATGTCCAACTTTGTATTTTCCATTGTCCAGACTGGTTTGTTAGTCCACACCACAGTACTAGCAAATTCTTTGTCATATACAGTGGCATGCGAAAGTTTGGGAACCCCTTGCAGAATCTGTGAAAATGTGAATAATTTTAACAAAATAAGAGAGATCATGCAAAATGCCTGTTATTTTTTATTTAGTACTGTCCTGAGTAAGATATTTTACATAAAAGATGTTTACATTTAGTCCACAAGACAAAAAAATAGCTGAAATTATTAAAATAACCCCATTCAAAAGTTTGGGAACCCTTGGTTCTTAATACTGTGTGTGGTTACCT